GAACCCTTCGGTCCCAGACTGGAACACCCTCCCTCGCACCCCAAACCCCTCCATCACCACCCCCACCCCACGAGCCCAAACCCCCAGCTGGAGCCCTCACCCACCCCCGCCACACCCCTGCCCCAGCCCAGAGCCCCCTCCCACACCCTGAACTCCTCATTTCTGGCCCCACCCCAGAGCCCGCAACCCCAGCCAGAGCCCTCACCCTCTTCTGCACCCCAACCCCAACTTCATGAGCATTCATGACCCACTGTACAATTTCCATACCCGGATGTGGCCCTCGGGCCAAAACGTTTGCCGACCCCTGGACTAGACCATCATAATGCTGCCTTCTGACCTTGGAATGGATGAATCTATTACACTGCTGCACTCTAGGCCAGATTCTAACTGGTGCAACTCACTGGTGTTGCTCCATTCATTCGCGCCAGCTCGGAGTCTGCCCCCATTGACCCCAGTGGGACTTTGGCCAATTCACACCAGGTGGAGATCTGGCCTATTGACTCCAATGGAGCTCTGGCTGATTCACCCCAGCCCAGTCTTTTCCAATCTTTGGCTTCCAACAACCACCCACAGAACAATTTTCTCCAAGGTTCCCTGAACCCATCACTGACCGGAGCCGACCCAAAAACGATGGAGAACGAAACCGCAGCTCAGCCCAGTCCTAAAGGAAGCGGATGCAGCGACTTGGAGGAGTTCCGCTCTCGCCTGCGGCAACATTTGTGTTATACACAAAACAACCAGCCAGCAGGTAACCCCAGCTCATGCTGCCTCCCGCAGTCACTGTTACAGGCACTGACTGTTCCCAAAGCAGAGCCGCTCTCGCACCCCCTCTTCTCTCCCATCCCTTCAGATCTGTTTAATATCTCCAGGGCCACTCAGCCTCAGCAGTGACAGCGAGTGGCCAGCGCAGGTAACTGCAGGCTTGAATCATTCCGGCAACTTTAATAGAATCCTGTAGTTTAGCTGTCATGGGACCAAGAGACGCTGAGATGGCCCCGGCCCCAACAAGTTCACAGTGTAAATAAACGAGACACTCAGAAGGGGAAACTGAGGCACAGGGCAGGCCATGACCTGCCCAAGGACACAGCAGGCTAGTGACAGGGCCCAGAATAGAACACGGCTCTTCTGAGCCCTAGGTCAGGGGTTCAACCACAAAACCAACCTTCATTCTAATGCCCACCAGAGCTCTGCGCCTCTATATTATCCTTCACATGAAAGGTGGCACCACCTGGGGAACAGCATCTGGTATGGAGTCAAGAGCCCCCCACTACTGAGTCACACACCCCTCCTCCCTGCTGCACAGCACCCCCTAGTTCAATGGGACCGGGGTGAGCCCTGACTGTGAGCGGAGAGCGCCCCCTACAGAGGCCCCCTTCCCACTCCCTGCAGCACAGCGTCCCCCAGTGCTGGGGCATTGGGGTCAGTCCTGCGTGTGAGCAGCTACGAACCCCAATCTCATTCCCTACAGCGTCCTCTGCTCCACATTGGGGCATTGCGGCCAGCACGGACTGCAAAGAGAGAACGCCTCCTACCGAGCCCCCACCCTGCTCCCTGCAGCACAGCGCCCCCTGCTGCTGGGACATTGGGGTCCAAACCGACTGATGTTTTAGTCTTGCCCACATACTCACGCCGTCTCTGCTGCTAGGCCCCAGTCCTGGGCTCAGTAAAGCCCTGAGCGTGAAGGCTCCATGCATCTCTGTAAAGGTGGTCAGCCCTGTTCAGAATGATCATTAACGACACCTCTCTTCCATTTCCCCCTCCAGAGAGTTCCAGCTGCAAACTCTGCCCCAAGGACTGGCTGCTGCATGGGAACAAGTGTTACTGGTTTTCTACAGCGATTAAAAGCTGGGAGTGGAGCCGTGACGACTGTTTAATGAAGAGAGCACAACTGCTAGTGATCGATGACCGGGAGGAGATGGTAAAGAACGTGCTATATTCAACTGCAGGATGTGTGTTGCTATTAATTACAGCTGGTCCAAGATCACAGGTTTCCCTCCAGTGGGAAATTAAATAAACATTTTGGTACTTTTTGCAAGAAACTTTTGTTGTGAAAATGAAACCAACTTTTCGTTTCAGGTGTATAAAACTGAAAAATGTTGAATTTTTTTCTCATTCCCCTCCCTTTTCTCCCCTATTGAATCCAACAGACTGAGTCATGTCCCTAGTAGATTTGTCTGCCCCTTGACCTTGACCACGGTTGAGATGAGGTCCCATGTGCACAGCAAGCAACTGAGCCAGCGAATCAGAGCATGTTCTGGTCACTCTGACATGTCGTCCATTTCACAGGCGTCCATAGGGAATATTACAGGGGACCAACATCAGGTGTGGATTGGACTTAACATCCCATCCCCAGGGAGGACGTGGACCTGGCAGGACGGATCCCCGTTAAATCAAACACTGTGAGTGATTCCTCATTAGGATTTTGATCAGTCTACAATAAATAAACCAGTTAACAAGAGTTTTGTCCTGGATTTCAATGGGATCAGGATTTCACACACACTGGTTTATGGTATAGGGCCCTAATCCTGAAAATGCTTCTAGATGTACTTAACGTTTACTCTCCTTGAAACCAATGGGATGACTCACGTGAGTCAAGTTAAGCGAGCAGATCATACGTCTTTGTGAGATTGGGGGCTCAATCTGCATGTCCCATCAATCCTTGGCAGAGCTGGCTGTGAAGCAGGACAAAGAAAAAAAATATCACCCCCCCCTCGCCATTTTTCATCAACATTTGATCAATTTCAAAATTCAGAAAGTTCCAACCAACTCTACAGTTGAAAACAATTCACACAATTTAGCCAATTGTGTGTGTCCATTTCCCCCCGACACACAGAAATGGCCACGTTTCAAAGGGGAATTGCAACATTGGGGAAAAAAATTTAGTAATTTGGATCTTTTGCCTCTCTGCTGAACTTGCAACGAAGTGCCCAATGGCTGTGCTGGTTTCTGTGCCGTGGACACTCCCTACCCCCCAAAGGACTGGCTTTAAACTTATCAGCTCGGTCCATATACTTGACCATCCGGGGAAAGGCTAGAAGTGCTGGATAAAACTACAGCACCCTCTGAGGAGACGCACAGCTACTATCGAGCCTCTTCCCCAACTCTCAACGCACGGACAGTGACTGTCCCCTTTGCTCTTTAGGTTCCCAGTTTCGGATCCTCAGAAAGAGGACAACTGTGCCTCTGTGAAGAAGAAGAAGATCCATTCTGAAATCTGCCAAACTGAGTTGAAATGGATTTGCCAGAAAGCAGCTTTCCTAGTTTAAGGAGGAGTCTGGTGGCACCTTAAAGGCTAACAGATTTATTTGTTAGTCTTTAAGGTGCCACCAGACTCCTTGTTGTTTTTGTAGATACAGACTAACATGGCTACCGCCTGATGCTAGTTTAAGGAGCTGGATTTGTGAGCTCTGTTTGCACAGGAGGAATGTAAAAAGCTCTGTATATTTCATCGTTATTTCAGCTATTAAAAACGACGGGTGAGATGCTCAGCCGGTGTAAATAGTATAAAAGTCAATGGAACGACACCAATGAATGACTGATTGGCGGGTGGGGGGAGGGGGGCACCGGAGGGAGGGCTGAGGGGAATCAAAACGATCAAATCCTCGTAAAAGTAGAAAACAAAATTTAGAAGTGAAAATGGCCTATAGAAGTGGTCATGAAAAATCTCAACTCAACAGAAATGGTTCCTTTAAAAAACGAAATGACTTTGAAATTCTCTTGCGTATTTTGGCCAGCGCCAGGCCTGCTACATCGTGGGATAACTCCACCAGGCCAGGTTAATTGTGGGAAGAAGGGATCAAACTCCCATCATTCCCCCTGCTGTATCCCAGAAATGAGCAGGCGAGTGGAAGATTCCCAAAGGGATTATATTACAGTAGTAACTAGGCCAGGGGGTCTCAACCTTTTTCTTTCTGAGGCCTTCCCAACATGCTATAAACACTCCAGGGCCCAGTGGGGGCAGGGCCGTCCCTACCCATACGCAATGTACGCACCTGCGTTGGGCACCAGGAAATTTGGGTTACAAAATTTCCTTGTGCCCTAAGCAGCTGCGTGCTGCTCCTGCTCCCACTCCACGCCTTCCCCAAAGCCCCCGCCCCAGCTGTGTCCCAGCACCACCCCCACTCCAGGCCTTCCCCTGAGGACTGCAGCAGGGGTCGGGCGCCCTGCAATCACCGGGCGGTGGTAAGTGGAGGACCGACCCAGCCCCAGCCCCCTCCATGCCGCCAGCTCCCAGCTGCACCTCCATTGAGTGCTGGGGGGTGGTTCCCTCCTGCCCCTCAAGCCTGGGAGTCAGGGGAGCAGAGCGGAGTCGGCTGTGGCCGGGTCACTCCCCTTCCCACCGCCCCATGAGTGCGGGGTCTGACCTGCCCTGCAATCACCGGGCGGCAGGAAGTGGAGCGACCCAGCCCCAACCCGCTCCACCCCGCCGGCTCGTGCATCCAGTTGTCCATCCAAAAAACATTGTTGGAAAATTTCCCACCAGCCCTACATTCAAGCCCGTTTCTGGGCTGTTGGACACAAAACAGTAAGATGAACATTGAGAGCTGATGTCTGTGGGTGGCTGTCTCGCTGGGTCTGGTTTTATTACCGTTTATTCCTTGAACGCAGACTAAAGCCGTGGGAAACAAGCGGTGATCCCAGACACAAGACTGTCTGTGCATTGGCTCTGTATGGTGCTCGAAGCTGGGTTCTACTACCTAACTGAGGTAGGATCCCCACTGATTTTCATTACACTTGGGCACCTACCTCCATTAGAGACCTCTGCAAGGGCAGCCTAGAGCACAGTTGTGTTGGGGGAGAAAGTACAATATATTTAAGCCATTCCCCTAAACCCACACAGTAAGGAGGGGGATGGGACTTCAATCTTGACATTTCCTGGTTTGAGGGGATGTTGGCCATTTTAGCCCACACACGAGCTGCCTTTACACAGTACAACCCCGCTCACCTCCTCCAGTGACAGCCATGCTGATTTAAACATCCCTGGAGAGCCTTCCTCCAGAGGCAAAGTGGCTCCATCTCAGCATCACAGTGAGTTTTGCTTTGTGGTGTTTAAACAGGGCTGGTGGATTCTGGGGGGCTGGGATCTTGTCGGCTGTAATAGTTTTTTAACCAGCAGCTTGAGCGATGCATGAGGGGTCGGGGGGTCAGGCCCCCAGATCGTGGACATGGACATAGCTCCACTGAATTTCGTGGGGTCACTCTGGATGTACCCCGGTATAACTCGGATGAGAAGCTGGTCCTAACTCCAGCGATTTCACTGAGGTCACTCAATTTTCAATAGGGGGTAATAGGTCAGATCAGAATCTAGCCCTGACTCCGGGAGGCGGGAGAAAATACCTAACATGTCTTTAAAATGAGTGTAATCTAACCTGGGACCAGTGAAATCTAACTCTGCATGTCCTGGGTTTGTTATGTTTGGCTTTGGGATAATTACAGTCTCCCTGGAAGGTTTTGAACCATAAAAACCTGATACATGCTCTCAGCCTTTCCATCTTCATGTATTTTTTTGCCTTGAACTAAACAGAGGACTAGATGCTTAGTTTTGGGTTACCACCCATCCGTGTTTTCCCAGAGATAACCCCGTTTTTGGTCCTCCGATCTCTGTCCGGGTGGGCTTCTGAAATATGAACAAGTGTCTTCAGAACTGCGTAGCCGGACAGCAGTGGCTGCTGGATGGCCGCCCAGCTCTGAAGACAGCACTGCTGCCGGCAGCAGCGCAGCAGTAAGGGTGGCATGGTACCCCTCCTCTGCTTTCAACTCCCCCTCCTCCCCTCCTCCTGGCAGTGTCCTCTATTCCGCAGCTTGAAAGATGGTAACCCTACCTCAGCTGGTATAAGTTTGAATCACTCTGTGCACTTCAGTGGAGCTACAGCCGCGTTACAGCAGCTGCGGAGGTGTCCCTAAGTTCCTCTAGCCCCTAGGGACAGGTCAGTGTAACGTAAAATGCTTTGACTTGCTTGTGAGACGGCATCACTGACCTCATTCTCTGTTACAGTCTGACTGCCAGATCCCCAGCAGGGGTACAGCACTGTAGCTCCCTTGCAATGTACAGAGCTTTGCTGATTCACAGCCCCTGCTCCACATCTTCCCCATGGCCCTCGCCCCTGCTCCGCTCCAGCCTCATCTCTTCCCACCCCTGTTCCGCCCAGTCCTGCCCCCGCTCCACGCCTTCCCCAAAGCCCCCGCCCCAGCTGTGTCCCGGCACCACCCCCACTCCAGCCTTTCCCCTGAGGACTGCAGCAGGGGTCGGGCGCCCTGCAATCACCGGGCGGTGGTAAGTGGAGGACCAACCCGCCCCAGCCCCCTCCATGCCGCCAGCAACCAACTGTGCCTCCAACTGGGAGCCAGGGGAGCAGAGCGGAGTGGCCTGGGATCTGGTCACTCCCCATCCCACTGCCCCATGAGTGCGGGGTCTGACCTGCCCTGTAATCACCGGGCGGCTGGAAGTGGAGCGACCCAGCCCCAACCCACTCCACCCCGCCGGCTCGTGCGTAGGGCACCAAAATGGCTAGGGACAGCCCTGAGTGGGGGGATGAGTGGAGGGGCTCCAGGCTTCAGCCGCTGGGTGGGGGGGGGGAACGGGACAGGGCTCAGGCTTCTGCCCCGCAGGGAGCCCAGGCTCCAAAGGGGCCCCGGCCCCACCCGGCCTGCTCTGCTTGGGCTGCATTCGAAGGCCCCCCAACTCTTCTCCGCCCCCCTCCCGCCGTCCCGCACCCACTGACAGCCAAGCTCCCCCCTCCCCTGCCTGTTCTCCACCACCTCCCCAGCGTGCCGCGTTCCCGCTCCTCCCCCTCCCTCCCGGGGCTTCCCCCACTGCCAAACAGCTGTTTGCTGGCGCTCCGGGAGGGAGGGGGAAGAGTGGGGTCACAGCGCACTCGGGGGAGGAGGTGGAGAAGAGGTGGGGGGGCCTTGGGGAAGGGAGTGAAATCAGGGCAGGGCGGAACAAAGGCGGGGCCCCCACACTCCCCTTACACATACCCCCCCCCCGCTGTGCACTGCTTAGGGCAGGATGTGGGGCGGGGGGCTGGAAGCACCCCCTCATGAGCCCAGCCCCCACCCCCAGTCCCCAGCCCTGACTCCTGCACCCCCTCACACACACCCAGACCTGACTTCTTCACCCCCTCACACACCGACAGCCCCCCGACTCCTGCAACCCCCCACCCCTCTGTCCTCCCTGATTCCTGCACTCCCCCCACATCCCAGCTGCACCCCTCGAACCAAATGGGAGCTGCCCCAGGTAAGCGCTCTGCACCCCAACCTCCTGCCCCAACCCTGAGCCCCCTCCTGCATCCTAACTCCAGGCCAGACCCTGCACCCCAACCCACAGCCTGCTCCTGCACCCTAACTCCCCCCAGCCCCTGGACCCCCAGCCCTGAGCCCCCTTCCACACCCTATGTCATTGCCAGACCCCACACCCCAACGTTTTTTTACATTTTTTTTTATAAAGCACTCTTATCCAAAGCACCTTACAATAGTTAACTAACGGTACAATCAATATTTGGAGAGACCCTTAAGTGGTCTGCCGAGACCCTCAGTGGTTTTCTAGTGGTCTGTGGAAAAGTAAGTTAGACTACAAAAACAATAAAGGTACCTCACTTTATTTTCATTTACTTGCTATTACTTATAGGAGGATGAAGAAAAAAAGAATGAAAAACGGGGGCAGGGGGAGATGAGACAGAATGTTCTGAATTGTGACAAAAAGTCAAAAGGCCGATATATTGCTAGGAGCAAAAAGTTCCAGAACATTTTTGGTTTGGGAAAATGTCAATGAAAATGACATTATTTTTTAGATTTTTGGCGACATTTTCAGTGGAAAACTTTGACTTGTTGAAAACCAAACATTTTCAGACACAGCCTGGGTTGGGTGGGGCGCAGAGCGGGGGAAATCAGCATTTTGTTTTCCGATGGAAACACCAAATATTTCTGAGGCAAGCAGAAACTTTCCATGGAAATGGGCATTTAGCCAAAACACGTCAATTGTCCATCCAAAAAACATTGATGAAAAATTTCCCACCAGCCCTACTTTCAAGCCCGTTTCTGGGCTGTTGGACACGAAAAAACAAGACAAACGTTGAGAGCTGATGTCTGTGGGTGGCCGTCTCGCTGGACGTGGTTTTATTACCGTTTATTCTTTGAACACAGACTAAAGCCATGGGAAACAAGCGGTGATCCCAGACACAAGACTGTCTGTGCATTGGCTCTGTATGGTGCTCGAAGCTGGGTTCTACTACCTAACTGAGGTAGGATCCCCACTGATTTTCATTACACTTGGGCACCTACCTCCATTAGAGACCTCTGCAAGGGCAGCCTAGAGCACAGTTGTGTTGCGGGAGAAAGTACAATATATTTAAGCCATTCCCCTAAACCCACAGAGTAAGGAGGGGGATGGGACTTCAATCGAGACATTTCCTGGTTTGAGGGGATGTTGGCCATTTTAGCCCACACACGAGCTGCCTTTACACAGTATAACCCCGCTCACCTCCTCCGGTGACAGCCATGGCTGGGGAAATAGTCCCTGCTGATTTAAACATCCCTGGAGAGCCTTCCTCCAGAGGCAAAGTGGCTCCATCTCAGCATCACAGTGAGTTTTGCTTTGTGGTGTTTAAACAGGATGGTGGATTCTGGGGGGCTGGGATCTTGTCGGCTGTAATAGGTTTTTAAGAAGCAGCTTGAGCGATGAATGGGAGGTTGGGGGGTCAGGCCCCCAGAGGGTGGATATGGACATAGCTCCACTGAATTTAGTGGGGTCACTCTGGATGTACCCCGGTATAACTCAGATGAGAAGCTGGTCCTAACTCCAGCGATTTCACTGAGGTCACTCAATTTTCAATAGGGTAATAGGTCAGATCAGAATCTAGCCCTGGCTCCGGGAGGCGGGAGAAAATACCTAACATGTCTTTAAAATGAGTGTAATCTAACCTGGGACCAGTGAAATCTAACTCTGCATGTCCTGGGTTTGTTATGTTTGGCTTTGGGATAATTACATCCTCCCTGGAAGGTTTTGAACCATAAAAACCTGATACATGCTCTCAGCCTTTCCAG